GTTCATTTCATGAACTAGTTTTCTATAGAAAACTGTTCATTTAATGAACTAGTTTTCTATAGAAAAGTTGTTCATTTAATGACTAGTTTTCTATAGAAAAGTTGTTCAATTAATGAACTAGTTTTCTATAGAAAAGTTGTTCAATTAATGAACTAGTTTTCTATAGAAAAGTTGTTCATTTAATGAACTAGTTTTCTATAGAAAAGTTGTTCACTTTATGAACTAGTTTTCTATAGAAAGTTGTTCACTTTAGAACTAGTTTCCTATAGAAAAGTTGTTCATTTAATGAACTAGTTTCCTATAGAAAAGTTGTTCATTTAATGAACTAGGTTTCTATAGAAAAGTTGTTCATTTAATGAACTAGTTTCCTATAGAAAAGTTGTTCATTTAATGAACTAGTTTCCTATAGAAAAGTTGTTCATTTAATGAACTAGTTTCCTATAGAAAAGTTGTTCATTTAATGAACTAGTTTCCTATAGAAAAGTTGTTCATTTAATGAACTAGTTTCCAATAGAAAAGTTGTTCATTTAATGAACTAGTTTTCTATAGAAAAGTTGTTCATTAATGAACTAGTTTTCTATAGAAAAGTTGTTCATTTAATGAACTAGTTTTCTATAGAAAAGTTGTTCATTTAATGAACTAGTTTTCTATAGAAAAGTTGTTCATTTAATGAACTAGTTTTCTATAGAAAAGTTGTTCATTTAATGAACTAGTTTTCTATAGAAAATTTTCATTTAATGAACAGTTTTCTATAGAAAATAGTTCATTAATGAACAACTTTTCTATAGAAAAGGTTCATTAATGAACTAGTTTTCTATAGAAAAGTTCTTATGAACAACTTTTCTATAGAAAAGAGTTCATTAAATGAACAACTTTTCTATAGAAAAGTTGTTCATTATGACAACTTTTCTATAGAAAAGTTCATTATGAACAGTTTTCTATAGAAAAGTTCATTTTATGAACTAGTTTTCTATAGAAAACTAGTTCATTATGAACTTTTCTATGAAACTAGTTCATTAAGAACTTTTCTATAGAAAAGTTCATTAATGAACTTTTCTATAGAAAAGTTCATTTAATGAACACTTTTCTATAGAAACTAGTTCATTAAAGAACACTTTTCTATAGAAACTAGTTCATTAATGAACAACTTTTCTATAGAAACTAGTTCATTAATGACAACTTTTCTATAGAACTAGTTCATTAATGAACAACTTTTCTATAGAAAGTTCATTAATGAACAACTTTTCTATAGAAACTAGTTCATTAATGAACAACTTTTCTATAGAAAAGTTCATTAAATGAACAACTTTTCTATAGAAACTAGTTCATTAATGAACATTTTCTATAGAAAACTAGTTCATTAATGAACAACTTTTCTATAGAAAACTAGTTCATTAAATGAACACTTTTCTATAGAAAACTAGTTCATTAATGAACAGTTTTCTATAGAAACTAGTTCATAAATGACAACTTTTCTATAGAAAAGTTCAAAAATAACACTTTTCTAATAGAAACTAGTTCATTAAATGAACAACTTTTCTATAGAAAACTAGTTCATAAAATGAACAACTTTTCTATAGAAAACTAGTTCATAAATGACAACTTTTCTATAGAAACTAGTTCATAAATGAACAACTTTTCTATAGAAAACTAGTTCATAAATGAACAACTTTTCTATACTAGTTCATTAATGAACAACTTTTCTATAGAAAACTAGTTCATTAAATGAACAACTTTTCTATAGAAAACTAGTTCATTAAAAAGAACAACTTTTCTATAGAAAACTAGTTCATTAATGAACAACTTTTCTATAGAAAACTAGTTCATTAAATGAACAACTTTTCTATAGAAAACTAGTTTCATTAAATGAACAACTTTTCTATAGAAACTAGTTCATTAAATGAACAACTTTTCTATAGAAACTAGTTCATTAAATGAACAACTTTTCTATAGAAACTAGTTCATTAAATGAACAACTTTTCTATAGAAAACTAGTTCATTAATGAACAACTTTTCTATAGAAAACTAGTTCATTAAATGAACAACTTTTCTATAGAAAACTAGTTCATTAAATGAACAACTTTTCTATAGAAAACTAGTTCATTAATGAACAACTTTTCTATAGAAACTAGTTCATTAAATGAACAACTTTTCTATAGAAACTAGTTCATTAAATGAACAACTTTTCTATAGAAAACTAGTTCATTAATAACACTTTTCTATAGGAAACTAGTTCATTAAATGAACAACTTTTCTATAGAAACTAGTTCATTAATGAACACTTTTCTATAGAAAACTAGTTCATTTTATGAACACTTTTCTATAGAAACTATTCATTATGAACAACTTTTCTATAGAAAACTAGTTCATTTTATGAACAACTTTTCTATAGAAAACTAGTTCATTTTATGAACAACTTTCTATAAACTAGTTCATTTTATGAACCTTTTCTATAGAAACTAGTTCATTTTATGAACAACTTTTCTATAGAAAACTAGTTCATTTTATGAACAACTTTTCTATAGAAAACTAGTTCATTTTATGAACAACTTTTCTATAGAATACTTGTTAATTTTATGAGCAACTTTGGAACAACTTTCTATAGATACTTGTTAAATTTATGAGCAACTTTTCTATAGGAAAATATGATAATTTTATGAATAATTTTTCTATAGGAAAAGGTGTTAATTTTATGAACATCTTTTTCTTTTTTGCACAGTTTGTTCTGTAGAAAATTGTTGATATTGTCAATTGCAAACAAATTTTCTATAATATATTACAATATTTACATAAATTACAATACATTTATTTGCATATACAATTTTACAACTAAAACTTACCACATTCGCCTGGAAATTTTATTTTTTTTTAATTGTAACACAATAATAAACAATATAAATGCATTATAAACGTCACACTTTTCTGAGTCAATAAAGTTAAGAATTGTTTTATGTCCAAATAGTTTCGGTTGTAGAATGCGTTTTTTAACAATTTGTCTTAAATAACACTTTTTTAGAAATAAACTTTGTTTATGAATTTGCCAAATTAAACGATTGACTCCCGCAGTGAAATCTCAAGAAGAAAATATCTACATAACATAACAAAAAATGTGCTTTTCTTGGAGTTATTTGTTTACGTCAGTATTTAATGTTTTTATACTGTTTTTGTTGTTGACTTTTTGTTTGCAAACAAAACAAAATCAATCGTTGGGTATGTTCAGTTAAAGTTTGTAAACGGAAATAAAAACATATGAGTTGTGGGATGTTGCCAGGTTGAAATAAAAACAAGCAGGGCTTGGAAATTAGATAAAGCTGTAAAATATAATAATAATTAATATTTTAGTAAAATGCTGAGTTTCTTGTGTATGTAGCAATAAACCTGAGAATAATGAATACAAATAAAAAAGCAAAATCTTTATGTACGTCTCTTCTTATTAGATATAATTCAATTTTTAAAAATTCTTGGTAGTTATCGTACAATATTTCTATGTTATTGGCGACTCTAAGATAAGCAAAGCCATCGATATTTAACAATCTAAACTTTAATAAAAATCTTCTTAACTCTTCAAGGATCTTAAAAAAAATAAACTGAAAATTGTGAAGTATATTAAACTACAAAGCTGTATGAAAGGAGCTAGAGACAATCTACACGATGCTGGAGGCATTGGCACCGGACAATAGTACTTCTTTTTGGGCACACTTTGGATGAGCTGTTGGTCTTGTGAATACACATACATACTTCTGTGGTCCTCCTTTAAATCTTAGGTAAATTAATCTCCAAAACACAATATTTGCATATAATATGTTCAGACAAATAATAACGCCAACTGTGACTTCCCTAGAGCACATACTGAAATGTTTTTGTACTAGGCTCATTCATGATCTGTAGTACGATTCACTATTTGAACGATTATCGAATTGTTTGACAACGCAAACAATTAAATTAACCTACACAGAACTATAAATTCTTAATCCATTTCTAAAGGATTAAGCAGCACTGAAATTTTCGAGACATCGTGTTTCCACTTTTTTTTATAAAATCTGTTATATCATCTGAAAGTCTAATCTCTAGACTTTAAAATAAAGTTTTAACCCTTATTATATATTCCTCCTTATACTAGAAAACCTAAGGATTGGAACAACCATAAATTCTCAAAAAGTAATTTTTTTCAACCAACAATATTAGCGATCAAGAAGTTGATCGAGGCATTCTTCGATCTTTTGACAATCCATTCAACTTAACAGCTAAAGATTTTTTTTTAGCTTGATGAACAATTAAGCGGTAAAACTAATATATGACTTTTTTCTTTTATAGACCCTCGCAGCATTGTGTTTCATTATAGGCGGAACTATTGGAGCTATCGATTGCATACAAGTCTCGATGTGTCCTGTCACTCTATTAATGTGCAATGATAAAACCAAAATATTTTAAATGAATCGATAACAAAGTTAAGTATTTTTGTTTATGTACTATGTTTACCATATTTTAAATGTCAAATTTCCATAAGCCCGAGATGATTCCTATATATAGAGCTCCTCAGAGTTCTGCAAATATGTTTTGAAAATGCAGATACAACATATTTTTGGCGACACATATTAAAATGTTTTTTTATTTAAAATTATATATCTAGAGGTGATTCTGGGTATCCATTGAGATCCTGGCTGATGACTTCTCAACCAAACCATTCAAAGGGGACCACAAAAGTTCAGTATAAAGATATAGTAAATCACATAACTATACTGAACGATGGTGTCATTATAGGAACCTATCGAAATGTAGTACAGGCAAATTCGAAACATTCGTAAACTATTGGAATTAAAAAAAATTCAAAAATTTGCAGTGCACTGACAATATTTATTGAAATTAATGTACAATATATAATATGTATTTTTTGGATGCTTCACTTCCCAAACCGATTATCATATAATATTTTGTATAATATCAGTTAAACGTTTTGGCAAGTGATTCCTCCATTTATAGAAAAATAAAATATTGAAAAATTATACCATAAGCATTTCAATCAAAATTGCAACATCGGTGATTTCCGATAAGGCAAGCATATCTTTAACGATGATTTTGGCCATTTTCAAAAATGGTTCGGCCTTAGCAATTGCATCCTTTACGTGGGATTCAAAGTCCTTTACAATGCGATCCTGTACGAAAACATTTTAAATTAATATTAATATGCATATTTCAATCATTTTAGCAATACTAACCACATCACCACCAAACTTTTTCTAAAATTTTATAAAATTTTGATTAAAAAGTCACATTTAATAATTTATAAATCAATAAATCTTACCATAATATGATCTATGTCATCGGCAGCATCTTTCTGCAAAAAATATATGTATATAAAAAATTTTTAATGAAAAATTAAATCTTTTCTAAATAATTTATTTAACTCACCACATCATGACCAAAATCATTGAAACCTTTTTTCAAATCGTGACCAAAAATGTCGAATCCTTTCTTAACGTCATGACCGAAATCATCAAATCCTCTCCTGACGTCATGGGCAAACTTATCAGCCACATGTTCCTGTTAGAAATATTAATATTAAATTTTTTGTTTTGTTTTTAAGTACCACCTTAATCGGAAAAAGGACTTACAATATCGTGAGCTAATTTTTTAAAAATATTTTCACCATTACTTTGATGCAAAGTGGTTGCCACCAAAGCAATAAAAAAATTTTACCAAAAAATGCATTTTGTTGTAAGTTTATTACTGAATGCAAACAATGGTTCCAGTCCCTTTATATAGGGAGCAATAATAGTGCATTACCCTGCAGTTTTTGGTGGCGGTAACGAAATATTTATTTTTCATATAATTTTGCAGGTTGCATGTTCATTGGAGAAGGAGTTCCATTCAGTCTACGCGAACAATTTTAAATATATTTGAATATCAAGGAACATTAAAGTGATGTTGGACATTTTGATTGCCAAATTACCCAACAAAAAGCATAAGTTCGGGTCAACCACATACGACATTTGGTTAAACTGTGTGTGAAAAAGTGTTTCTTTTAAAACTGCTGGGTAATTTTAACGGTCGCTATCAATATTTAGTATTTACAATATTTGCATTAAAAAGCTTATTTTACTTAAATATAAATTGAAAATAATTCATGTGTATAACTTAAAAAAATTAAATAAACTAATCTTTACTTAAAAAATAATTCCAGCTGCGTTTTCTCCACAAAATTCAACTATAGTATAGACTAACGCCTAGAGTATAGTCCAGACTCTTAACTAGGATAAACCATAGATTCGACTATAGACTGAAGTCCGGACTGTAAACTATTCTATGTACTATATTGTAGATAAGACTATAGATTAGATTATAGACTAGGTCAGGCTTTAGTACAGACTAAAGTTAGGCTATAGACTACAAAATATTTTAGACTACAGACTAAATTATAGAATAGAGAGTAGACTACAATCTAGAATATATATGATATAATGCTGACTTAAGACTGGACTATATCTAGAGTAGACTATATTCCTGACTTTAGACAAGACTATAGTATTGACTATTGAATAGTTTATAATTCTGACTATAGATTATACTATAGCCCTGATTATAGACTAGACTATAGCCCTGATTATAGACTAGACTATAGTCCTGATTATAGACTAGACTATAGGCAGGACTACCGATAGACTAAACTATAGACTAGGCTATATTCATGACTGAAGACTAGACTATAGTCCTGACTATAAACTAGACTGTAGTCCTGAGTACAGACTAGACTATGGTCATGATTATTGACTAGACTATTGTCCTTAGTTCTGACTTAGTCCTGACAATAGACTAGACTATAGTCCTGACTATAGACTAAACAATAGTTCAGTCTATATTCCTGACTATAAAATAGACTATCGTCCAGACTATATCTAGACTATAGTCCTGGCTATAGAATAGATTATATATGACTAGATACTATAGACTAAACTATAGTTCAGACTATAGAATAGACTGGTGTCCTGACTATAGACTAGACTATTGATCAGATTATAGACTAGACTATAGATTACGTCGTATTCCAAATATTTGAAAGTAGTTTTTAATGATTAATCAAAGATTAACTTGTTTTTGTTAAAATCATACATCATTATATTAATTTAAATATTTATTTGTAAAATATTGTAATATGCACTGTACTTCATTATTCCAACAAAATATTTTGTTTATAACTTTTTTATCAAATGTGAACGGCTATTGTTTTAATTTAAAACTTTGAAATACTTAAGTTAATTAATTTAGTGATAGATTGTTTTCAAATATTTTAATATTTCTTATTAAAATCATGTTTTTACGTTGTTGTTATTACATGCCATTTACACCATTTACGTTTCCCTTAAAATAATGTTTTAACTTGTTAAAGTTGGAGCAAACAGAATTTATACTATATCAACAAACATTTGCAATAAGAAATAAATCTCATCGCGCCATAAATACAGCATTAGTTGTACAATAACAAACTGCTATTTCCGGTTTATTTTGATCCACGGCATTGGAAATGACAGTGCAAACAGCTATGACTCAAATTTAAAAGCCAAGGAACCGAATTGGAATTTTTCAAGTCCTTATAAAATTTCATAACAATTTTGATTTCTTTTCAATTTGCTGTAATTTTATCTACTTTACTTTAATAAAATTTACACGTTAATTCTCAAGTATATAATTTAAAATTTTTATAAACGAGATTATTAACGGATTATGAATACCGCTGAAAATTTAAAACAAGTTGTTCAAAACATAGTCGGCTTTTACAACGCCGTTGACATTTTTAAATCAGCAGCCGCCGCCTTTAATATTAGTTGCCGCTGGTCTCTAAAGAAATGTCAAAAGTGATTAAAAAGGAAAGAAGAGGAAACTTATTGTTTTACACGCTCTTAGTAAAATTGCTTATTAAAAATAGGCAAACAAAAATAAATTACGCGTTAAAAAAATTATAATATTATAAACAAATTGAAGTAAGTAATATCTAAAACTTTCATTTATAAATAAATAACTATCAATTTCAAGGAAAAATGAAGTACATATAAAAGTCCTAACAAGGTTGAAATTTTTCTCTATGCCAAAAGTAGCACAAGCAACAACAATTAAAATAAATAAAAAACGGGAAAAGAAAACTACCACTAAAAACAAGAAAGAAAAATTGCGCGAAAAAAGCGTACGAGACACAACATAAACACGACGAATATGAACATACCGCATAGTAGCAAAGGCAGACATGTCTAGTGCGAGGTGAATCCCAAAATTTTGTATTTTCGATAAAGAAAAATAAAATCCAGACCATCAAGGAAACAAAATTATAAAAAAAGAAAATAATAAAAAATAAGTGTTACAAACAACAGGCGGTTTCAGTAATACGCACATCGGCAACGACAAGGTTTTCTTTTTCACATGTAAAAAAGTGGGTCTTGTTAGAAAGGTGAATGTTGCATTTTTTGTTGTTTAAATAAATTATTGAACAAAAACATCCTACACTAACTACCGGGTATAAATTTTTGCATAATAAACTGTATTTTAGTTGATGTTTGCAATTGGAGAAAAGCCCACTTAAAGGAATCCTTAATGTAAACCATGGTAAGTGGACTGTAATAAATAGTTTTCAGTTTTCTTATTTTTGTGTTATTTTTTTGTAGTTTTCGCTATATCTGTATTTTTATTTGTATTAGAAATTTGTTCACTTTTTTCTTCTGTTGTAATTTACATGTGTAACGAGGTCAAGTACAATTTTAGATTTCATTTGCACAACAACCAATTTATTTTTTACTTCTGTTTTTATTGTATTTTTTATTATGTTTAGAGTTTTTTTTCTATTTCTTGTGTATTATTTCTTTTGTTTTTCACTTAAGCATTATATTGTCATTCGTTAAGGTGTTTGTTTTATTGTTTTTTATTTGTTTACCGTAATTAACAGAGATTCTCAAATATTGTCAATGGTTTTGTTTGCTAGAATAGTTAGAATAGAAAAAACAACTCCCTTGGACTATAAACTAGAATAGAGCACACACTATAGACTATAGTCCAGAGTAGGTGGCCTCCGGTAGGGTAGTGTTTTAGTCGGGTAGACCGAAAGTGGTGGGTTGGATTCCGGCCTGAGCCCTAGGTGTATTTCTTCGTATTTGATGTATACATATCCTCCTTTCAAATTAAAAAACATACTCCAGAGTATAGACTAGTATATATTCCAGAATATAGACTAGGCAACAGTACAGACAATCGACTAGGATATAGCCAAGACTGTAAACTAGACTATAGTCAAGACTATAGACAATACTATAGTCAGACTATTGACTAGTCTATAGTCCTTACTATAGACTAGGCTATAATTCAGACTATAGATAAGACTTTACTATAGATAAGACTTTACTACAGATAAGACTTTAGTCTGGACTATAGTCTAGAATAAAGTTTAAGAGCTCTTAATTGCCCTAAATAAACCTTTAAACTTGTGAAGAATACTTTAGATGTTGGAAGTTCATCCTATTAAGTTGACAATCTTTGGCCTATTGAGAATCGAATCATTCTGGAGTAGAGACACAATTGTAGTAACATTGTTTGCTGTCGTTTGTAGCTGGTTTTGCATGAGTTGAAAGTTCAGTAAAATAGGAGCATGCTGGTTACCCAAAGGTTTAGATCAGTTTTGCGGTATGGACTTTAATTGCTTAAAATCTATTAATAATCGATTATATTGGATGTGCTAAGAAGAGTGGACAGTTCTTGATTTTAAGCAGCTATGGAAAATAAATCATCCATACGCGAGCTCAACTGCCATACTTTCCCTATGGAATTGTTTGAATTTTATAGTAATTGTAATCGATTATTCAGGTTCTTTGGACTTCACTACTATTTCTTTACAATAACTGTAAAATGAAAAATCTTAAAGTTTCTCATAGTGTTGTTAGTGAGTTTCCATTTTTATAAGATTAAATAATAGTATAATTAATTCTTATAATTTTATTATAATTATCTATAAACAAGAAAAAAAACTCTGTTAATTATAGATTTTGAAAAATTATTCCACTTACTACATACCTAAATAATTCGACTAGAAATTTATATATATTTCTCTTATCAATAAACAATTCAATTTCTATATTGCAATTATTTATTTTTGTTTATATTTTTCAGACACTGCCAAAAATCTTTTCTTTGGCATCGAAAAATTTCAATAATTTTGATACTATGTCATTTGAGGCTGGCACAGCTACAATTACAAATCCATTATCGCATCAAGAACAACAACAACCAGAACAAATACCACAACAACAGCAACCACAAGGCTTAAGCGCACTAAATAACCAACACTCAATAATGACTTCATTACCTCTCCTACAGACAACAACAACTTTGACAAATGCTACAATGTTTGAAGCTAACAATACAAATTTAAATATATCCCCCCAACAGTCGATTTCTGAAAATTCAGAGTCACAATTATTGGTAGAATGTGTTATGCCTGGTATATATTTGACCAAAGATTTTATATCTTGGAAAGAAGAACAATTACGCTCCCATGGATTCACTCACATAATCATAATTGATAAACATATACAGGAATTATATTATCCAAATCAACAACCCGACATTTTTAAACTCTGTTCAATGAACAAGGAAAAGGCACAAAATGTACCGAGGCGACATGATGATAGTTCCTCTTTAAATGCATTTGATTATTATTGTCCACCAACAGCGAGTTCAGCAAATCATTTAAGTTTTGGCAAAGAATTTAAAGTGATTGACTTAAATTTCGGCGAGAAATCATATTTAACAACAGTCTTACCAAATTGCTATAGGGCGGTAAAGTTTATCAATAAAGCTTTACAGGCTAAACGGCACGATTTTGGTAATAGACTGTAATGGTGGCGAACAGAAATGTCTAACAATTATTGTTGCTTATTTGATGTATAAACATAATATTAGTTTTAGGTAAGTTATAAACTAAGTTAATTTTAGATATATTGATTCATAGATAGGTAAATAGATAGATAGATAGATAGATAGATAGATAGATAGATAGATAGATAGATAGATAGATAGATAGATAGATAGATAGATAGATAGATAAATAAATAAATAAATAGATAGATAGATAGATAGATAGATAGATAGATAGATAGATAGATAGATAGATAGATAAATAGATAGATAGATAGATAGATAGATAGATAGATAGATAGATAGATAGATAGATAGATAGATAATAGATAGATAGATAGATAGATAGATAGATAGATAGATAGATAGATAGATAGATAGATAGATAGATAGATAGATAGATAGATAGATAGATAGATAGATAGATAGATAGATAGATAGATAGATAGATAGATAAATAGATAGATAAATAGATAGATAAATAGATAGATAGATAGATAGATAGATAGATAGATAGATAGATAGATAGATAGATAGATAGATAGATAGATAAATATAATAGATAGATAGATAGATAGATAAATAAATAATAGATAGATAGATAGATAGATAGATAGATAGATAGATAGATAGATAGATAGATAGATAGATAGATAGATAGATAGATAGATAGATAGATAGATAGATAGATAGATAGATAGATAGATAGATAGATAAGAATAGATAGATAGCTCGCTCCTCCTCGCTCCCTCGCTCGCTCCTCCTCGCTCGCTCGCTCTCTCGCTCGCTCGCTCGCTCGCTCGCTCGCTCGCTCGCTCCTCGCTCGTCCTCCCGCGCTCGCTCGCTCGCTCGCTCCCTCCTCCTCGCTCGCTCGCTCGCTCGCTCGCTCGCTCGCTCGCTCGCTCGCTCGCTCGCTCGCTCGCTCGCTCGCTCGCTCGCTCGCTCGCTCGCTCGCTCGCTCGCGCTCGCTCGCTCGCTCTCTCGCTCCCTCGCTCCTCGCTCTCTCGCTCGCTCGCTCGCTCGCTCGCTCGCTCTCTCTCTCTCTCGCTCGCTCCTCGCGCTCGCTCGCTCGCTCGCTCGCTCTCTCTCTCGCTCGCTCTCGCTCGCTCGCTCGCTCTCTCGCTCGCTCGCTCGCTCGCTCGCTCGCTCTCGCTCGCTTCGCTCGCTCGCTCGCTCGCTCGCTCTCTCGCTCGCTCGCTCGCTCGCTCGCTCGCTCGCTCGCTCGCTCGAGATAGATAGATAGATAGATAGATAGATAGATAGATAGATAGATAATATAGTAATAGAGGTTCTTTATTGAGGAAAAATTTATGCAATTAAGAAAAGCAAAAACATCTTCCAAACTAAAGGATTTTTACCGAGCTCTTGAAATTTTAGGGGATAAAAATCTATTTTCTTTTTTCATTACCCAAATTTTATTACAATTATAATTCTTTTCTTTTTCACAGTAATGCCTTTGCCCGCCTTAAAGAGTTTTATAAGAAAGCTGATTTGGATCGTTTCTATATTAGTCAACTCTACGAATACGAACCCATTTTACAAGTGCAACGTGCGCAGTCACGTGGTCACAGTTGTTCTAGAGAACTACATGCTGCCATTTTAAAGCGTAAGAAAACCCATGATGATGATAGTGATGCAACATTAGATAACAGCACCACATGTACGACTTCTTCAACCTGCTATAACACTACAACCAGCTCATATACTAATGCAACAACTACAACAGAATTGTTAGATAATTGTAATCCTTTAAATCGTTTCGATAGCACACAAATGGAAAGACAAGACATAAAACCATCAAATCATCATCATAATCCTCAAATGACACAAACCAATCGTAATCTGCATACATTTACTCGTTTTATGAGTGGAACGACATCATCGTCGACAACAACAGGTGGTTGGTATAATTGGGATGATTATGCTATGGAATAGATAAACTAAGTGCATGTTATAATATACTTACTACTACAACAAATTTCCATAAATTCAATATGATGGAAATGAAATACATTTTTTTTATAGATTTTTTTCCTTGTTATAAGAAGACGATTTACATACATACATACATACATATGTATGTTTATATTTTGAAATTGGATCATTGCAAATAAATAATATATTTGCAAACTTTGCATAATATGTTTATTGTAATAATTTTAAATAACAATATCAAACACTCTTTACACTATGGATAATAATTATAAGACACTAACAAATCAAATTGGGAAATAATTTCTAATTTCTATGTAATTTGAAATATTATTATAATTATTACACATAATGTTAATAAAGAAATACCTATATATAGTCTGGTAAGTGAAGAAAGAACTGAATTTGTTATGCTTTTAAAGAGAACATTTCAATGAAAACAAATGATTGATTCAATATCTAAATGAAATTAATTTATTGGATGTAAATCGTACATGCAATTGCTAAAAATTACAAACTTTTATATTTGCCTTTAAATTGGCATCTTTTTAGTTTTAATATTTTTGTTACTCGTTTAAAGAAATAAATGCAAAAAAGACTTTTTTAAAAAACACATGAAATTGTAATGTAAAAATATGTAATATTCTAAATTTTTAAACATTGTACGAATTATACGACCGACATATTTAGTATGTTAGTTTTTAGTGTTAAGAAACCTAGTTTGTTGTTTAATTTTCTTTTATACTTTGCTTGTAATGTAGTGATTTAATTTTTTTTAATTGATACACATTTTTTTATTAAAACAAAAAATTAAGTTTCCCATTCATTGATTTAACATTATTTTTTTTCATCACATTAAACTTTTTTCTACCGTTTTTAAAGAAATATATCAAAATTAAAGTGTGATTCATTAAATAAAAAAATTAAATTTAAATATAGTTAACTTTACAATATTATATGTAACTATAATATTCGAATACAAATGGAATACATACATAATTATATACATTATACATACATATATGTAAAAATAAACTACATACATTTTCTATATGTTCAATATACAAAGATATTTGTTTGTTATTTTGAGAACAAGTATTGCTCTTGGAGCTGAACGAAAGATTATTATGTTAAACTTTGAATAACGCTAAACAATGTGGAAAAGTTCAATACTGAGTTAGAAAAACAAAACCATATTGAAAGTGTAAAAGATTGTGGATTAAGTCCGTAACAGGAATGTCGATATTATGGGAAAAAGGCTAAAATTTAAATATTCTTAAGGAAAACATCTCACAAATAGGCAAATAGTTTATTTACCAGCCTCGTTCTTTTCCTAAGACTTCTCCAGAAAATAAAATAGGATACATAAATTCTCAGGGCCCTCATCTTCAATGAATACTTTCAAACCAATATAACCACATTATCAATGGAAAAACCTGCGGAGTATAATGTATGAAACGTCTTCCAAAACAATGCAGTGTTCGCACACATCGGATGAAATGACATGCATCTTTACTAAAGTGTACCCACAAAAGGAATGTCCGGAACCGATTTATCTCACAGGTTTTTCCGCTAACTCCCACAAACCAAGGCGTTTTGTTAACTACTGGGAAGATATTACCATACTACGTACCCCGTTATATTCAATCTGCTACTAATTTCTAAGTATTGATTCGATCTCATGAATAGCATCAAGCAATGGCCATCTAATTGAGACACGGGAACGATTACGTCTAGCGTTTCCGAAAATCTCATGTGTGTCTCTTTAATTGAAAAATTAAAATCAAGGCAGACAATTTCTCTCGTTATGGGCATGATTTATTGGTAAAAGGCTATGTGTTTAACAGGTACTTAAACCACTTCGAGTAATCTCTGTATGTTGTTTGAATACGAGTCGACCTATATTTTACACGTAGGAAGCTGGGGACCTTCAAACACTAAGTAGATCTAGAGTTTTAGATGGTATTCTATTGGTAAAGTTGAAGAGATTTAATGGTCTCCACCAGGATATAAACAGTTTAGATATAATTAAGACCATTATAACCTCACAAAACATAACCTCACTTCGAGGTGAAACAACAGCACGAGGCTGATACTGATAAAAGCATTATACATTATCCTTAAAATATTATGGCGATGACACAAGATTAGTACTCTAACTCAAACCCGAATTGCAACTCATGGGTTCAATATTTCCTTTACATTTCAATATCTCAATATGTGAATTCACATTACACAGTGAGACTAAATTAACGAAAATTGAAATACCTGGGAAGTGACACTATTTGTCTGAAAGGTCGATCTAATTAGAGCAAGAATCTGTTTTGAAATTTGGCAAACACCTCCACAATCTTGAGATACGGGTAAAAAACCGGGTTTTCGTATTAGATTTAGATTTAGAAAGAAGAAGTTGTACTCGGATGAACCTTTCAGGAAAATAGTAGAATTTCCCAGGTATTTAGGTCGCATAGTGTTATCAATAAATTCCTGAAATTGCAGACGGAATGTCGAACATAATACCAGTCTTAGAAACAAAATTTTGAAGAATTTCGGCGTAAGGCCATTTTCCGTCATTCTCATATCATTCACAAAATTATTCGCATTTCCCTGCGGCGGTCTCCATAATTAGATATTAAACCGGATCAAATGAGCCTTATTTCATATTGAAGCTGCAGATTATTGTATATGTATAATGATTTTTGCCACGTATACAATGGAAAAAATGCCGTAGTCTATTACAGGAATAACGGTTTACGAATTACGAACCAATAAGTGTCATCTCTAATTTTTATCGAGTATTGAATATAGTCAGCTGTTTGTTTGTTGAAGACAAATAATAAATAAAATTACAACAAAATGGTAATAGTAATTCATATCGTGAATAATACGGTCCACACGAGCAGTTGAATTACTTAATTCGGACTCTGAAAACAAATAAAAAATTAGAGATGACACTCATTCATTCGTAATTCGTACGTAATTCAAACTGAATTATGTACAGTTTGTGTAATTCGCAGCAGAAATTTTGTATGTCCAATCAAGTAATTCAGTTTGTAATTGGGGTTGAATGACGAATGAGAGCGTGAATGACGAATAATTGCATCGTCTGAACGGGGTATAAATAAACTGTACGTGGGAACATAGAATAAGGTAATTCAAAATTAATTACGTACAGCTTGTTCAGTTCATAAAATCAAGTGAATTATTTAAAAATTTGTGAGAATAAAATAGGAACTACGTGTACAAAATCGGTTTTGCGATTTAAATTTGGAAATGAGGATATTCTCAATTAATGGAACCATTTAGTATTTTAAGGTTAATTTATGGGTTTATTTATTAAATTACAAAACTTAAATAATTTATTGATTTTTAAATATAGTACATTCGAACGTTTCTCTTTTTAAAATACTGAGTAATTTTAATAGTAGAAGTAGTATGTATTAAAGTAAAATAAGTATTATTGTTCTTATTGAATTTTAGCTGGTATTTCGACACAAACGATATCTTCATCATTTTGATCCTTCAATTCCCATTTAACCATAACATTAACTTTGGGATATGCTTTTAAAACGGGTAAGGTGGCGGTATATTCATAGGTTTCATCCTTTTCCAAAGGACATTTAAGACCGCTGTCAACACAGGCATCGGGATTTTGCAAATGGAAAGGCATTTCTACACCCAATACTTTGCCATGTACAACGGTCTTAACCGCTGTAACATCTTCAGCTGTAAATGAAAAAAAAAAAAAAACATTATTTTGTTTGTTGGCGTTTTTTTAATTGCTTTAATAATTGAATTAATTATCTATCTTCTTACCCAAGGAGAAATCAATTGTTATGGAGACGGATGAGTTACGCTTTAAAATGCATTCATTTTTGGTAGTATCACAATCGGAGACAACAATTTTTGTAAATTTTCCTATTTTGGAACCTAATAAAAATTAAAAGATATCATTAAGCAATTTTTTTTATTATAGCAATAAATGTTCTATTTAGAATATAAATTGTTATTTATAAATATCTTCGTTCGAGTACTTGTCAAATTTGCAGTTTTTACAGTAAATAGTTTTCTGGACTTGAAATTTTAATATATTTTTTTATTAATCTGACTAATGCGAAAAATTAGTCAGACCAGATTGAATATGAATATCGTCGGTGCATCATAAATGCCAATAAAACAATGGTGGAATAATAGTTTGAAAGTTTTACGTAAAACTTTTGTTTTCGCAAAGACGATATTTACTTTATATTTAAGAAAAATATATCTTATCGACTTGTACGCAAATTACATTTACTTTATAAGTATTATAAAAACGTGATAAATAGTAAATTTTAAATATTACAAACTATATTTTAATAAATTATTTTCATGTATATTTAATATGATTAAAAGTTAAAACCAAGTAACTGACATGTTTTTTTTAACATGAGTAACTTATGATGTGACTTCGACAATTCTAAAAATGCTATAGATATTATTCATAATTATCTCGTTGAGTGCATTAAAACGATATTTTATATTTTATGTATAAAATTTTGACCTTAAGAAACTCTTATTTACTGATAATATTTTGCAAAAACATTTTATAAAATAAAATTTTCACATTTCATTTATATATAATTTAAATTAAAAATATTTTTCAATTAGATTATGTACTTAAGCATCTTGAAATGACCCTCTTTAAATCTATTTAACCGCCTTGTCTATACACGAGCAAAATTACGTACATCAATACCCAACATACCCGGGTATGTATACAAATTTTATGTCAGTTGTCGGACAAAAATTAAGTTCCATTTTAAATTTTATGTTTTATTATTCGAATTATATATATAGATATATCTAACTAATTACTAATTACATTACTCTGAAAGCATAGTCCAAATTTCAAGCCGATACGATATATAGATCTCGAGATATATCACTTCAAAAATTAAAAACATACCCGGGTATGTGGGTATTGACATAACGGTTAAGAGAAATTTGATAGGTTACAATAGATATATATATAAACATATTTTCCGATAGCCAAAGGACGTTATCAACCAAGAAGTTTAAGTATAAAAATGACTCAGACTGAAAGAAAGCCATAACTGACTTTCTTTCCTGTGACAGTCCATCATGTGAGTACCAGACTATAGGATATTTGACAAGGAAAGAGCGAATGTACATACTTGCTATAAAAGGAAGTGAACTTGAGGAAGTTAACCTGACAAACGGTCTGACGCAACGGGGCCTGAATTAAAAACATATGCGAGAAAATCCCAATCGGAGACTTGAAATAAAGGAACGGTGGATATGACATCAAGATCTTATAAGTTGAGACCAACATGAGACCTCATCAGACTGAGTAAGAGATTGAACATAAAGTATTATAGAATATTATACTTTCGGATACTGAGAAATATAGAGCATGCAGAAAGAAATGTGAAATGCTGGAACACTTTCTCTGTCGTTGATAGACTTTCGTCAAAATTAGTTTCAAATATCTCGAGAGCGATGATATTCCAGATATTACATCATTTGGGAACATTGATTGAACATTTTTAAGGAACTACGTTAGTAAATTGAGTTTCTAAACGTCCAACGTATACTATTAAATATATCGTAAGGATATTATGGTTGGAGCTGATATAATCTCAAGTTGATTCACATTTTTAAGTATTAAAAATTGATCAATCAGGACGATCCATGTTTAAAGATTTAAGAAGAACAAAAAAGTACCAAAAATAATTGACAAACTTATATACATATACTCATCTCACGAAGGTGAATGGTGTAAAAATGT